CATTGCCTATACATCTCTTTCTTTGCCCCCAGACTCTCCTGGAGTTCCCTGTTCAGCCAAGGGGGCTTTTTTGCCCCCTTACCTCCCTTCCTACCTAATGGGATAAACTACTTTTGAGCCTCAAGGATCACTCCCTTGAGATACCTCCAACCCTCCTGGACCCCCATATGCTCTATGTTCTTGAGTTGTATCCCCTCACTAACTAGCCTTCCAAGCTTGCTAAAGTTGGCCCTTCTGAAGTCCAACACCTTAGCCCCACTAGTTACTTTACCCACCCTTTGCTGGATAGTGAACTCGACCAAGGCAACTCGACCAAGTCACTATCTCCCAGACTACCATGAACTCGCATGTTCCCCACGAGATCATCCCCTGTTGCTAAGACCAGGTCAAGCAAGGTGCTACCCCTGGTGGGACTAGACACCACCTGGGTTAGGTGGAGGTCCTGCACACAGTGTAAGAACCTGTATGAGTGGCTTGTTTTGGCTGTCTGCTCCTCCCAGAAGATATCTGGATAGTTTAGATCTCCCATGACCACCACCTCCCTCGCCTGTGTAGCGTCTGCTAGCTGCCCAGAGAATACATCGTCTAGCTCTTGATCCTGATGAGGAGGCCTGTAGTAGACCCCCACAACCATGTAATGTGCAACAGAAGTGGGAGCAACTGGGAATTCTCTCTCTTCACTTAAAATATATTATTGTAGAATCTGATTTGAATAAAATAATATTTTGGCATTTAGATAAAGGGAGTACATGTCTATCCTGTTTCACTACAGAGTCTCAGTACCTTAGTAACTAATGCTAACATACTTTTTTGTAACTTTTTACAGCAATATACTTCAAGAGCAGGCATCAGTAAGCTTCCTACAGCATAAAGCAGACTGATTATCCTCTTTCCTCACTGAAGTAACAAAACTTAAATCCATGCATCAGCCTTTCATACATGAGTACTAAGTCCTACACGTTAGGCTCAGACCTAAACATAAGTAACTAGATTAATATTTGTACTGGAAGTATACTATCTCCTTCAGTAAGCCCCAGAATTTAAAACATTTCTGTGTTACTACAAAGTAACAGAAATTAATTTCATTTGGAAGCACACTAACCTTCCTTCCATTTGTCGAAGAGCATTCTTCATTTTCTCTTCATACTGCTTGTACTTTTCCACAGTGACATACACATGAACCATAGAGCCATCTTTCCAGTAGGTATGTACAAATTTGTCACAGTATTTTGCGTGGATTACTTTCTTCTTTGTTTCCTACAGAGCAAGAAATTCCAAATTACATGTTTCAATTGCAGTCTCTACTAGATACTATACCAAAATACAGTTAAATACACAGAAGGTAGGGTCCAGGACTGCTACAGTTGTATAGTAACAGAAGTGGACCCAGAATGCTGTCCTCCACAGGATATTTGCTCCTTATAAAAGGTCAGTAAAAAAAGTTTTCCTGGCCCCTTAGGTCTGTTCTTGACTAAGAAGAGTAGAAGTGTACTGAACAGCGTTTTGGAAGAACTAGGAAAGAGTAAGCAGAAAACAAATGAATCCAATACTTAGCTTCAAAACCCAAGCAGCACCAAAACAACTGGGGCCTATATCAGGGGTGGGCAATTATTTCGGGCAGATGGCAGCTTACCCAGTTTTGGTAAGCTGTCCAGGGCCGCAAGGGTAGCCCTGCCCCATGACAGATACCCCACCCCCTGGTCACCATCTTGGGACCACTGTCCAAATGTCTTGCCAGCACTGGTGGGGCCCAGAGCAGGGGGCAGGCTGGCAGGGGTCTGTAGAGCCAGGCTGGGCTGCACCAGCAGGGAGAGGGGGGAGCTGGCCCGGCTCCATGGAGCCCCTGCCGGCCAGGGCCCTGTACTCCTGCTGCCCTGCTCTGCTCCTGCGCCCGCTCACTCCCAGCGCCTCCCAGCCCCGCAGTACAGACAGGGGGGCAGCGGACAGCGGACAGCCCCAACCCCCTGCTTGCTGCTGCAGCCGCTCACAGCCTGGGCAGGGCTGTCCTGAGCAGGCACAGGCAGCCCCACATGGGCTGCAAGCAGCTGCAGCGCAGGGTGTCGGCCACAGGGTGGGTGAGGGACTGCTTTTCCCCCGCACTCAGCACCAGCTTGTAGCCCGGCCCCACACTAGCTCCGGGCTCACCCATCGGGGCTGCGCCACAGTGGCAGCAGCTGTGGCCCTGCACAAGCTCCAGGTGGGCAGCAGCAGCAAACACTGCCCAGTGCAGCAAGTGGGAGGGCCGCAGCTACTGCTGTTGTGAGCCCAGAGCTGGCGCGGGGCCGGGTTACAAGCTGGTGCTGAGTGCGGGGGAAAAGTGGCCCCTCGCCTGCCCCGTGGCCAGCACCCCTGCTGCAGCTGCTCGAAGCCCACGTGAGACTGCCTGTGCCTGCTCAGGACAGCCCCGCGCAGGCTGCAAGAGGCTGCAGCAGGGAGCGCCAGCCACGGGGCAGGCAAGGGACCACTTTTCACCAAGCTCCACACCAGCTCTTCCCCTGCCCTTCCCCCACCATTATCTGAGCTTGCCGCGCTGGGGTAGCCACATGATCCCACGCCAGAAGCCCCAGCAGGGGCTTCCGACTGGGGGGGCAGAGCCGGGTGGGCCCTGCTGTTGCAGGAGCTTGCCAGGCTTCCCCTGGGTCCTACTGCCTCTGGTTCCTTTCATTTTTGACAGGAACCACGGACAGATACATTTTAATTTTCAAAAAAATTTTAGGGGCCCCGCACGTTGGATAGAATCGCCTTGCAGGCCAGATCTGGCCCGCGGGCTGTATTTTGCCCACCCCTGGCCTATATGGTACATCTCCTAGACCACATGGAGAAAGAAGATAAGAAAATGACCAATAATCTTTCACCTTGTCTCACTTGGTCAGAAAGACAAAGGAAAATACGAAATTGTTGAAAGACAACCCTTCAACACTCCTGCCAAATAACATGCTGGATAGGGGAAGGAGAAGGAATGCCACCCTTCCTCTGCAGAGAGAGATCTGCTTCTATACTGCTTTATTCTTTCTGATGGTCCTTTAACTTTATTTTAATCCTCCAAGTAAAAATCATGTTAGACACGGACCACATACACTATTATAGTATATATATATAAATGTGCACTGTAAATCTCAAAATAGAAAGGTAGGAAAGCACCAAAAACACTATAGGATTTGCATGAATCCCAGCAATACTTACAGCATCAGTTTGTAAAGATTCATCTTCTGGCTTGGCTTTTATGTCAACAATGCCATCAGCATGGCGAAAAGTACAGTCAGCAAGTGCATCATATAATGTTAGCTTCTGAGCTTTCAGGCCATATTTCTGCAACCAATCTTTTGAATTTACATAATCCTCAGGTTTTGGCTCAGGCACTGGAAGATTCATTTTGAATGCTGATTTGGAAAAATATACAGATATATTACATATATATGTATACAAGTGCATACTATTCTACGCATACATGCATACTTGTATGCATACAATTACATATATACTTATATACAAGTATGATACAGAACAATGTTGAACATATTCAGAAAAAAAGAAAAATTGATATAAGGATACCTGGGCTAAAGTTTTCAAACTTAAGACCAAATTTTACCTCCTAAATCCATATTTAAGCATGCACAAATTTTACTGAAATCAATGACAGCCACTTGTAGCTCAGTACTTTCATGAATCAGGCAGCTAATTATAGATTAGTTGAATTGTAAATACAGATTTGAAAGTCTAACTTCAGACAGCCACTTCTGAGCATTCTGACCATAACTTAAGTTGCAAAACTCTAAGCAGAATCACTGGAGTAATTACAGGCAAATATTTAAAATTGAGGGGGGGAGGGAAGGAATGATGACAATTATGTGCCCCAAAACTAAAATGGTGAATTATTACAAGAAGCTATGCTTCTTATTAAGGTTGCCCAACATGTCTCATTACAACCCCTGGGCTAAGTACAGAGTCAAAAAGCCCAAGCCTAAATCAATTCAATCTTTGCAGATTAGTTGAAACTGAGTACATTGAACTGATAAACAGATGAATAAACATTCACTTTTGTTTCCAAAAATGCAGCCACATGCCTGCAGTGGCCCAAGTCAGAAGCCAGGGGACACTAGAACACACGGACAACTGGTGCCTCTTGAGTCGAGGTGGCAGGTGCCCCCCCCC